CCCTTCCAGCTTTTAGTGTAAAAATCTGCAACAGTGGGATCTGCACTAGAGATAAACACGTGGACCTCAGTTAAGAAATATTTAGGGTGAAAATGAAGCTATCACTAGATCCCATTTCACACTGAGAATTAGCTACAAGTCAGGCCCTGGGAGGATAGGACCTGGAGAGAGTAGAAATCGGGAATATAGAAGGGTGAATGGGAGGTGAGGACAAAGATGAATCTCCTGTTGTTCATGGATTTGCCAAAGGAAAACTGGCCAAAAAAGATCTTGAGCATGAGGCTGGCAGTGAGGGCCTGATGGGGTAAGTGGGAGCCAGGAAGCAGGGGCACAACATCCAGGGCTGGGTAGAGGAGGGGTTGAAGTTTTAAAGACTCTCAGAACTCTCTGTCCATTCCATTCCCATCCTTCAACCAGTTTAAAAGACGCTTAACTAGGTGGGGTGACGTGGTTCACGCCTGTAATTCCAGCACTTTGGGAGGCTGAGGCAAGTAGATCGCTTGAAGTCAGGAGTTGGAGTCCAGCCTGGCCAACATGGTGAATCCCGTCTCCACTAAAAATACAAAACAATTAGCCTGGTGTGGTAGCGGGTGCCTGTAGTCCCAGCTACTTGGGAGAATTAGGCAGGAGAATCGCTTGAACCTGGGAGGCAGAGGTTGCAGTGAGCCGAGATCATGCCACTGCACTCCAGCCTGGGCAATAGAGCAAGACTCCGTCTTTAAATAAATAAATAAATAAATGAAATAAAAGACACTAATCTACTTAGACACTTTTAAAAAATGAAGCAACAGGAATTTTTTTTTTTCCTCTAGAGGAAAATTTTAGGAGAAAGCCACACTATAGCAGAGCTGGTCTGTTCCAAGGAGGGGGACTTGAAGCCCTCTCTCACCTCTCAACTCTGAGCCCACCCAGAGCAGTATTCAAAAGCCCACATCACCTCCACTCTGTTTGCCCTGGCCCGGAAAAGCAGCGCTTTCCTCTCGGATCTTCTAGAACTCTTTGAAGTTGCCCATCCCGGCGAGCCTCATTTCATTCTTTGCTCTTCTCCGCATTTGCTCTGTCTCAGTTTGATGAATCTCCTGTCGCATTTCAGATACGTATTGACTTTTGCACAACTTCCCAAGCCTTTCTCGGAGAAAGATTGACAGGTGTAGGGTCGCCGGGGAAGGAGGTTTAGCTGTTTTAAATGTTAGTAAACATGACAGTTTGTTGGGGATTCACAGGAAATCATGAAGAAGATCATTGGGATTTGATAAGGGATTTTTCTCCCAGATAATTAAAGATTTTTTTTTTCATTATCTTTCTCCCCCCAGAAAAAAAGTCGTGGATGAAGGTCACTGGGATAACTCATTATCATCTAATACTCTTAAAATAGATAAAAGACAAACGTTTTTAAGCTTGTGCAGACCACAGGGCCCCTGGGAACTGTTGTGGCATCTTTTTAGCAGGTGATACTGTCCTTTAATGCCTCGTACTTAACTCTCAATTTTCTTTTAAACATCAGATATTGAATAGGCTGCAGACTCCTTTAGGCAATAAAGAACTCTCGTGCTCTGTGGCCAAAATCTGCCAAGGAGTGAAATATTTTTGATACAAAAGAATAATTCATTAAAGGAGGTAATAAAGGCAATTCAAACCCTCCGCAAACATATCACCGGGTGAATAAAACTCGTCACTCTCGCCTTTGGCCATGTTGTAAAGAGAGAGAGAAAGAAATGAAACCAGCTTCACAAATGGGCCAAAAATCTCAGTGGGGTTTAGTCAAGTCTGACAATTCAGAATTTGACAAACAAGCAGAAAAAAAAAGAGTTTTATTAATATTAGGAGAAAAACCCCTCTGGAACAAAGCATTAAATGTCCATGTTAGCTTTTGCCCTCATATGCACTTACATGATCTTAGGGAGAAATCTGACTTTGAGGTGACATTTTGCTGATTATGCCTCTGGGGCTGTCCCTCACACACACACTCAGCCAGAAGCACGCACTGTCCCATAAGCCAGTGTGAATGGTTGAGATGGTGGGGAGATGTGGTAGTGAGGGAACCGCGCTGCGAGGTCTGGGCATTCTGGCCGAGGGTCAGCCAGTTAGAGCCCTGCAGTGCCCCCAGTCCCTAGGAGCTGAGAGGACCGGGCATCTGCTGGGTACATCTGCACTGGTACATGTTTGTCCACCAACCCTGTAGCCCAAGGAGTTTAACCTGAGAAGTAGCGTAGAGTAACTGTTGAGAGAGGTATCTTGGACTACTCCTCTCCCTCTATCTTAGGTCTGTAAAATAGGGTTTTATGGGAGATCCCAACCAGGAGTATTGAGCTAAGAGAAGTCAAGGAGTTGAAAAGGCACTCTATTACAACTCTGTGTCAGATGTGAGAAAGCCCCATGCTGCACCTCTGCTGGGTGGACGTTCAGACTGCACCTGAACATCTTCAGCGCCATGGCTCACTACTGCATACAGTCTGTCTTCTTGATGAACAGCCTTAACTATGAAAAATTCTTTTCCTGAATTCAGCCTGGTGTGTCTGCTTGCTTGCTTGCTTGCTTTCTTTCTCTTTCTTTCTTTCTTTCTTTCTTTCTTTCTTTCTTTCTTTCTTTCTTTCTTTCTTTCTTTCTTTCTTTCTTCTCTTTCTTTCTTTCTTTCTTTCTCTCTCTCTCTCTCTCTCTTTCTTTCTTTCTTTCTTTCTTTCTTTCTTTCTTTCTTTCTCTTTCT